AGGTTGGTGTCATGTGATATAAAAAGTGACAGTTGCATTTTTAGCATAAAGCATATTTGAAAACCAGTCCAGTGGAATTTTTTTGTTCTCCATGTACCATTTACTAAGTATTACCCATGAGACTTTTTTTTTTCCTGTGCAAGAGATCTGAAACAGTTTAAGTTAGGTAGTTAGACAAAGTTACACTAAGTGTCCTTTATACAAACACCTGGCTGCTGCAACAGTCTACCACAGAGAAACTCATTTACAGAAAGAAAAAAAATCATGAAAAGAAAACAATCACAATACTGACACTTTATAGTGTGTGGGGGACTTTGCAGTGAAATAGCAGCTCTGCCCTTACAGCCACAGTGTAGACAGAGGAGTGTAAATTTAAGATTGTTTGTAATTGAAATGTAGTTCAATCATTGTGTTTTGTTTTGTTTTAATTTCTACCATCTATTCATGAACATCTGAGAGCTGTCAGGATAAAAATGTTAACACATGCTTTGTGGTTGGATGACACTGTACACCAGGGGTTCTCAAAGTTTTGATGACAGAGTGCCACTTTTGGGACTTAACATATGATTGAGGGCCATGCAAGAAAAAGGCACACTACATTACATCACATTACAAAGTCACAACTTGCGTCAGTTCAGAGGATAGTCTTTTATGTGATTAATTCATTTCTTGATAGATTTCTTTAAGTTGATTGAGTTTTCTGCATTTCTGGACAGCAGCCTTATTTGTTAATGTTAGAAAGGTTTGGTCTGCTATGATGGGAAGAACAGATGTTGAAATTGAATAAATATCTCCCTTGTTCATTTTCTGGGCTGATATATTGTAGCATGACATGAGTTGTGGGTGTTGAAAATGTTCAGTAGTGCATTTTATGTTTGTTGCCCTCACAAGCTGCATAAAATATTACTAAGGGGCACCACTGGACTCCACTCTGATCTCTTTTTATTGCTCTTATTGATTTATGATAGTTAAGATTCATTTTGAGGGTGTTACTGATAATATTTCCACTTTTTCTCCCTCAGTCTGGTCAAGACCATAATGCTATGCAGAGGATGATGAGTTCTAGGAGTCTGGAGCAGCAGCTCATTTCTCCTCCCACCAATCCTGTGTCACGGTCGTCTGACTTGGCCTGCACTCCATCTCGGCAGGAACGTCACCGTGTGTCCAGCTACTCTGCTGAGGCGCTCATCGGTAAAAGCTCCACTAGTGGCGAGCAGCAGCGCATCGGTCTCCACCTTCAGCCTGGTCACAGTGGCGCTCAGGAGCAGCCAGACCTCCGTGGTTATCTGGACACGTCAAGAGGGAAGGCCAACATTGCACATAACCCACAGAGCCGTCTGCCATCTGACCATCCGGGGTCCGCTGATGTTCAGCGGGTCTCAGAGTGTCCGCCCTTTAAGGCAATGGGGGGTGCAGGAGCCCATCAGCTCAGTGGTTTTGAGGCTCAGGTATCTCGTGGGAGTGACATGACATCTAAACCAGTGCCTCCCTCCCAGAGGGGGCCTCAGGGGCAGCAACAGCCAGGTTTCAGGATGGGCCCTGCAACAGATGGCCGAAATCGTGGGGGCTACAGTGGAGCTCATCCTGGCTCACAAGGGGTCCAGGTTGGACCAGCACTGCCTCGAGAACAGGATGGATGTCATCAGAGTTTCATGCAAAGCCTCCTGTCCCCCCACCTTCCTGAGCAGAGCAACCACCAACGAGCAGTGCAGTGCTGTCCTCCGGTCAGCATGGAGTACAGCTGTGTGCCTGGAAACTCGTCAGGAGACATACAGGCCAAGACCTCCAGTCCCAGTGTTCCCCAAACCCAGAAGGCTCCGCCTATGCGACTTACAGAGGGAAACAAGGGCCACATTTCTCAGGTCAGCAGTAACATGCACCCAGGCCCAGGTGTGCGATCAGGACTCCCTCACCCTCCACCCTCACACAGCAGCTCTGAGCCAGGCCGCTCCTCCGCCCCCTCCCGTCCACCCACTGCTGTTAGCCAACACTCTCGCCACATTGCCAGAGATCCTCAGCCCACCAAACTGAGACCTGGCGACCGGCCTCGATCCGGTACGCTCAGACCGAGCAACCCGTTTGAGCCTGAGGGCCATCTGCCTCTGCCCCCTGGAGGTGGGGTGCTGCTGAGCCGACCGCAGTCTGGAGGAGAGGCACGGCGTAGCGCCATTGTGCGCTTCATGTCAGACAGTGCTCAGGTTCCTAGCGACAACAACCTGGTTCCTGATCAGCACCTAACACAAAACTTTGGTTTCCCTTTTATTCCTGAGGGAGGGATGAATCCTCCACCTCCCATCAATGCAAACTCTACGTTCATCCCGCCAGTGAGCCAGCCGAACGCCTCCCGTACGCCGTCCCTCCTCCCTGTTGAGCCTCAGAACACTTTAACCTCCTTCTACCCTTCCTATTCTCCTGCTGCTCACCCCAGCCTTTCCAGTGATGTCACCCTCCAATATTTTCCCAACCAAATGTTTACGAGCCCGAGTGCCGACAAAGGGAGCGCTCCTCCACTCAACAACCGCTTTGGCTCAATCCTGTCCCCGCCACGCCCTGTGGGTTTTGGTCAGGCCAGCTTCCCGCTGCTTCCAGAAATGCCCCCGATGCCCATCGCCAACTCGTCTGGAATCACCCCTCACATCTCCAACTTCAACTTGACCTCTCTGTTTCCCGAAATCGCTACCGGCATGCCCACTGATGGCTCAGCGATGCCAATGTCTCCCTTGCTGTCTCTCTCTAACACCGCATCTGCCGACTCGGGCAAGCAGCCGAATCGTCCTGCTCACAACATCAGCCACATTCTGGGCCACGACGGCAGCTCGGCCGTGTGAGGAGACCTCCTGCTGCAGCGTGAATGTGATGGTGAACTGGAGCTTTAGAGCAAAAATTTTAAATGTTGTTGCTTTTATTGTTCAACGAGTTCAGAAAGTGGTGATGAAGCACTTGTTGAAATGGTGATTTTTGTTGTTTACATGTTCAAAACAGTTTTGGTCTCAGATATGTTCCCTTTGGCGTTTGCCAATGTTATCATTTGTAATATCTGAACAATCTTATAATTTTACAGGAACATGGAAATGTGTGTCTTTAAAGTGTCCCTCTTATGCTTATAGGCTCCTAATTTTATTTTGTAGGTCTACAAGCAAAGGTGTGCCTCTTTGTGCACTGCTGTCTTTTTGAGGCTACACTCCCACGAGCCCATTCTGGTCTGGATGGTTAGCTCCACCAAATTCACATGTAACTGGCGTAGCCCTTCAAAAGCTGACATCTGCAAACAGAAAGCCGTAGCCACATTATAAAAACATGCCATCGCTTCTAACTTTAACATCATCCTACGTTTGAATTTGATCGAAATCACGGCAAAGCCTCGTTTTTTTTTTTTTTTTTTTTTTTTCCACGCGTGTTTGCTGTTAGTGCAGAGCAGCTTTTAATGTTCAATGAGTTCAGAAAGTGGTGACGAAGCACTTGTTGAAATGGTGATTTTGCACTCCTTGGAGACTTACAGTAAAGCATTTGGAGTATTTTGCTGATAAGAGACATTTTAGAGTTATCGTCCATCTTTGAGTTGAGGTCACTGCTCGTTCTGTCCTTCCTCAAGGATGGGCAAAATTATTCCAGTTTGTTACATGGGTGTCAAGTGTTAAGTGGAATAATAATACAGTCATGTGTTCTGTGGGAGAGAATGGACAGCTGTGGACATCACGGTTGAGTTGTCCTTATCATACTTCTTCCTGTTCTGCAGGGAGATGTTAATAGGCATCGCAGGGAGACCTTTGCATAAAACCTTTCTAATTCTCTTTGGTGTGGATTTTTCAAACATGTCATATTATGAAACGGATTGAATGATGAAGAAAAAAGTTAAAAGCATAACAGGGGCACTTTAAAGTTTGTTGTAAAAATGTTGGTTAAACCGACTGGTAGTAAAACAAAATCAGTTTTAGGTTTAGAACTTGAGTTCAGTGTATCCTGGGTCATTGAGAAACCTTCTGCACAGTTACCTACTAATGTAATTTACTAACTTATCAGGTTGTGCTGTACAGAATTGTTTTTCCAAGAGCTATTTTGTAAATACCAATGTTTAATATCAGAATTATTAGATTGTATGTATTTGTAAATACAAGATTGATTAATAAAGTTTATAAGGAGACATTTGTATTTGACATTTGCTGCCAACTGGAAAACTGTGTGCTTTTTTTATTCTCTTGTCCATGACAGCATTTGAAACATTTTTCTAGATCAAACGACAGCCTCCCGCCGCTCACTCCTGACTCTCTCTTCTGATCTATACATAGTGATGATCAATTAAACCAAAAATTTTAGATTTGGATTCATCATTTCATCAGACCTGTTGACACTAATTTTCAGTCCTGTAATGTGGCAAACCGCAGCCTTTTCTTTGTTTCCCTTCCTTAAGAATGGTTTCATGACAGGAACCCTTCCACCTTCACAATATGATGAGGCTTCAGCAAACACTCCGTGGATGAAAGGACTGGACGTATCTCTCAGGTCAGGAATCAGGTCTTTGTGCATTTCTTCCTCTTTCTTCAGGATATGACTTCCAAATATTTATCTGCTGTGAGGTTTTTAGGTCTGTTACTTCTTGTTTTCCACTTGTCTAATTTCCTCACTTTTTTGAAGAACACTGCACACCTTGCTGAGTCTTGCAAATGCAGTTTACAGTCAATAGCTTTTTGGGAATCATTTTGTTAATGGAAAAAAAAACACTTTTATACCCGTCAACTGTTATCGGTGAAGTTTGTTGCGGATTCAACTAAAGAAATGTGAACAAATTGAGTTTTTGCTAAAATTAGAAGTGTGTAGACAATCCTGGTTCACCCATTTGTATGTTTGGATGATTCATTATGAGTGTTAAGTGGCTTGACAAGCAAAAAACAGAAAAACATTTCTCTGAAAATGAGTAAAAAAGCAGCCAATTTCCAAAGAAATTTTCTGAAAGACTTAAAAAGCTTAAAGAACTAATGCTCAAGATTCACAAACGACTCGACTCAATTTCATAAGCATTTATTTACATGCAATAGTGCTCCAGCATGTGCAACCACAGAACAGCTACACTTTAAAAAGAAAAAAAAAAAGGGAGTGTAGATTCAGGATCTCCTTCATTTTGATTGCAGATGTCTCTGTCAAAGACTAACACTTATGTACCGACCAGTGAGGGAGGAATAATACTGACACACCTGTCGCAGCAGCCTCACCTGGCAGTCTTTTGGTAACCAGCAAACAAGTAAACACAGAAATGGTTGCAGTATAAAGTTCAGCTTATCAATGACTGAGTTAAAGACATTTTCCAGAATCTCTCCCATTCAGTGATTTAAAAAAAATATACCAAAACAAAATAAATAAACTATACAATATATAATCTCTTGTACACTACTGAAACAATGATTTATGTTGCATACACTTGTTAATAGTTTGTTAATGACGAACAATGCATAATACATTTGTGTTACTGCTATACAGAAATGACCGAGAACGTGATATCGCAGAGCTAAACAGCACCTCGTGACAGCATCAGACTGGGTCCGATTGTGTTTCTGTTGTACGTAAAGCTAAGTACCTAAGAGGTCCAGACTAAGGATGGAGGAAGGCTGGGAAAGACATGATTGGTGGGGAGGGTTTAGTTGTGAAGTGCTGAACTGAGAGGAAGTCCCTGGAGACTCCAGACTCTTCTTCACACAAGGAATAAAGGTCTCAAATGCAGACAGGCAAAAAGACAAAATACTACTCCCTTTGTCCGTGACATAGCGTGAGGAGATCTATGAATAAAAAGTCACTTTCTTTTCAATATGAAAATAACCTTATATACAGTATAATCGGACACTTATGTACAAAAGCATAAATATATAAATATCTGTGATACAAAAATAAATATTTTCTCTCTTTTTGTTTACTGTTTATTTAACAGTCTCTCATGCATCTGTCACGCTGGCCGTCCCCTCGTCCTCGGGGGACGCTTCATTTGGGAGGATGTTCACTTCCTGTATAGCTGCATCTTGGGATTGTGGCGTTGTGGCTGCCGAAGAGGATGTGGTGAAAATCCCTTCGTCCTCCAGAGAGAGAAGCGGGAAAGATGCCGGCTCTGCGGTAAAGAGAGAGGAATGGTGAGAAGATGACAGGAGGATTCAACAACAACACCAAAACAAAGGCATCCTTAAAAGATGCTCGTTTGGTTGATAATAAAAGGAGAACATTATGAGCAGATATTAATGGAGACGTCCTCACATACTTGGAGCGATGTCCTCCGTTTTGTCTCCACCACAGAAGCCGCTGTCACCTCCCGCGTCCTGCGAGTCTAAAAGCTGATGTGGGGAGTTGAGGAGCTGGAGAGTGGAGTCATCTGGAGAATAGCAGGAGTGCTCAGGATGATCAGGATGATCAGGGCCACTGAAGAAAACAAGAAAAACATATTTATTAGACTTTTTTTTATTGTCCATACCAGTTGTGACATTTGGGATGTTCAGCCAACAAATTTCTTCAACATTTATCCAGGTGTTCAGTTTAAATTCTTGAGCCTGTTGGTCAAAATTCAGTTTTCTTGCTCATCAAATCAGGACAAAAAGGTTTTTTTAATGTCACCAGTTCATATTGGTAGAATTATTTTACGGTGTTAGTCCAGTACATTAAAAAGTAAATAAGTGTTATAATGAAAGCACACCTGGTAGAATAGTGGTAAACAGGCAGGTGTCCATTGGGCTGTTGCAGCAGCGTGTCACACTCCATATCACAATCCACACCATCCTGCACAGACAGACGAGCATACATTAAATATTCAAACAAAAACAAAAACTCGTGGATAGTATAAAACCTAGTTTTGTTTTTTTACCTGCTGGAGGCCTGGCAGGCAGTGCTTAGGGTGGTGAGGTTTGCCATTTGGTGTGTATTCTCCGTTGGCGGGGTACACGCCATGTGGAGCGGTCATGTGAGTATCCAGCGGGCAGTGGCCCACTAATGCAAGTCCCTGAAGAGGAACCATGGTGTACTGACATGACGACACGGGGGCGGCCACAGCGGGGAAGCACATGTCGGTTGTTTGCTCTGAAATGAGGACAAAACAGGAATTACACGGATGTGGACGGGAAAGACGTTAATCCCTGTAAAGACTCGAGGAACGGCAAAGTGCACTCACTCTGTTTGGCCCAAGCCCGCCACAGGCAGAAGGGGATGAAGGCGACAATAATGAAGACGAAGGCTCCCAGGACAACGCCAACTATGAGGTAGGGGAGGTCGCCGGGGCGAGGCACACCTCCATCGGGCGGTCCATACCGAGGGTCAATGGGAGTCTCTGATGGGAGAGGCTTTTGGGAGTTAGGACGAGCTGTAGAAAAAAGGAGAAAGAGGAAAAAATGTAACTATTAGCAAAGAAACTCTTTTTGTAAAAGACAAGACCGACTGACTGCGACAAGCTTTCGCCAACAAAGCACCTCACCTTTTGTTTCAAGGATCACGACATTGCCAAATTCGCTCTCTCCCTTCTCGTTGAAGCTCTGCATCTTGATGTCGTAGGCGGTCTCGGGCTGCAGGTCCGTAATCGAGTGCCAGTATCTGTCCCCTTCCACCACATCCTTCTTATAGTCGCTGTCATTATCGCTGTCTGTCGGCCGGTAGTAGATGTAGAAACCGTAGATGGGCGTGTTGTTTACAGGAGTGTACTGTCGAGGGGGAGAATAAATCACATTATAAATCACTGCAAGCTTGTTTTTGAAATCCTCAGTCTCCTTCTGGACACTCACCGTCCATTTGAGAATGATGGTGGTCTCGTTGATGGCCTCATTATAGGTAATGTAGGGTCCATCGACGGGGCGTTCGTGTGTTCTCCCGCCAACCACCGTGTATGCCTTGGAAGGGGCGCTGGGAGGACTGGAACCAATCACGTTCACCGCTACCACACGGAACTTATAGGACGTACCTACAGGGAGAGGAACGGGCATTGTTCATCTCTGGGATTACAACCAGCCAGTGACGCTTTCCCATTGTTGTGCTGATTAATGAGGCTTGTTTTCACTTTACTGTCTGTTTTCTTTGAGCAAATGCGATGCTGTGCTGTGCTTTTGACTGATGGCAACAATTACTGAGATGATTGAAACAACACTCATTATGGTGATAAATTTTGCAGACCATGGGAATGTAATTATGTGGACATCATTGTTGTAATGATATGGTACGACATGTCCTACTGCTCCCCCCACCCCCACCGAGCCAGAGTAAACAGCTTTGAGCAACAACGCTACGGTTTTGAAAAGAGGGTGTGAAGATGGCTGACCTTTCTCCAGGCCCGTGATCTCCACGGAGAGTCGCGACGGGGGGATGTTCTCCACCGCCGTCACCCAGTCCTCTCCTGCCTTCTTCACCTTCTTGTACTCCACCCGAAACGACTGGATGGGGAAGCCGCGGTTACCGCGAGGAATCCAAGTCACGTATGCCGACGTCTCAGTCGCTGTGGAGACCGTGGGCTTGTCGGGGGCTTCGGGAGCTGAAGAAAAGCATGGAAGAGTGTCAAATGGAAGCTACAAACAGGGACAATATACTCAAACTAGTGAGAGAAAGTTCAACAACGGTCACGTTCAGGACTTACTGGGAGCTCATCCTTCAGGGAACAGAAATGCAAGAGAAAGTGAGACTTGTTAGTGAAAGGAGAAGGTGAAACTGTATCTAGCTCTGCTCATAATCAAAGTAATAGATTTATTAGTATTGTTAATCAGAGAGGAGTTTGTCTCAGTAATACACAGGACTGTTGAGAGCTTACGAGAGAGGCTTGGTGAGGGGACAGAGGGAGTCTTTGGAGGATCATTTGACACTCCCAGATTTTTGCGACCTGTGGACAAAAGAGATAAGAGACCACATCATCTTAAAGAAATGTACTCCAAGTCATTTTTTTAAAGGAAAGGACTGGTGTCACTTTCTGACTCCCTGAGTCTGAGAAGTCAAAAGTTAAGATGTGTTTAAAGCTGTCAAAATAAAGATTACCTTAAAGTGCCTCAGTGTTTAGCAAACATGACTCAAAACGGAACAAATAAGGGAATTTCTTGGGGACTATTTTTTTTTAAAGGCAGATTATGCAAGAGCACGGTGATGTGAACTGACCACAAGTACCCGGCATGAAAAAAAAAAAAAAGCACCTGGCGCGAAGACTGAAGGAATCTAGTAGGATAACAGCTGTTGTTGTACCTTTGCCGGTTCTGAAGGTCATCATGGCTGGTTGTCCCAGCCCTGCACAGTTCTTGGCAGTCATCTCGACCTCATACAAGCTGTCCGGCTGCAGCTTGGATAGAGTCAGCTTATGGAGAGAGCCCGGGATACTGGTGGAGGTCCAGTCTGCAAGAAGTTCTCCCACCTGAGAGGCAGAGCAGGCTCAGTTACGAACACAAGAACACATGTGTGACTCTAAAAAGTTTAGACAATGAGCTTCTTGCAGTACCTTTCTGTATTTTATCATATACTCCAGTACAGGAGGTCCATGCTCGTGCCGCGGCTTCCAGGTGAGCTCATAATAGTCAGCCTTGCCTGTGCGTGGCTGACTGAGGATGATGGGGGCTTCTGCAGGCATGTACCCTGGAAATTCTGAGCAGTCTAGAGGCAACATGGCACCTGCAACCCCCGGCCTCACAGGCGGCTGCTCTCTCAGCACCTTGTCTGGGCTGAGCGGGCGGTAAATGGAAGGCAGCCTCCCTCGGGATAAAGTCCCTGTAACGAAACAAGAAGGATGACATCTAACATCTGTGAAATAAAAGAAAATCATCAACAAATTACCAAACTGAACCCACTCACCGGTTGATACGGTGATGAGGCGAGTGGAGGCCTGTGAGCTGCCCACCCCGTTCTCAGCCATGCACTGGTACAGCCCGTCATCCCGGGGGCCCACTTTGGAGATGCGCAGCCCCCGGGAGGTGAGGCGGTGGCGAGAAGACTGGGCGAGCGGCTGGGCGTTGTGGAGCCACATCACAGAGGGAGCGGGCTTACCGCGGGCCTGGCAGATGAAGCGCACCGTGTCGCCGTGCACGACTTCCCGCTGCTGCAGCTCCACCATCACCTGAGGAGGCTCTGCAGGGAAAAGAAACACACAAAGGAGAGAGGTGAGGAGGCCGACCTGAAACTCTGTGCATATGCATCTGTGTGGATCTAGGAAACATTTGACTATTTTCTGGTATTTGTAGACCAAACTACTAATCGAGGTAAACTTCGGCGCTTCGGTGAATACAATCGTTCACCAAAACACTTAATTGATCTCCTGATTCCTTAAGATTGCTTTACAAGTGCCAAAAATCTCCAATATTTACATTTTTATATAACTATTTTTGTCTCGCTAAACATCCAAACCCCAAAATGTTCTAACTATAGTGGAAATACTATGAGCTGGAAACAACATGGTTCGTGTTCTTGCTTGATAAGTGACTTAATCGATTCTGAAAACACAGTTGTAGTGTGTGTGTGTGTGTGTAAGGGGGTGTGTGGAGCCAGGCTGGGCCAGCTAGTTGATGGTTGGCTGCTTGTGAATGGGGGAAAAGACAGAGCTCATTACAGCTACAGCAGCACTCTGGCTTTAATTAGAGCCAGCTGCAGAGAGACGAGCCCACAACACATTCATACACAAACATGCACGCACGCGCACACACACACACACACACACACACACACAGAAAATCACTGTAAAAACAGTCATCCATAACCTAGACACACTCAATCAAGTCCTGGTGCAGAATAGAGAGCTCTGTCTCCACCAACTCTGTGTTGCAAAACACCGCCCACACTGCTCCTCTCTCACACACTCTGTACATACAGACCCCGTCTTGCCAGTCCGCCAAACAGGAGTCGATGTAATTATTAAATCCATGACACGGAAAAAACTTAAAACAAAACAAAAGTACCTTGTAGAGTCAAACAAAAAACATTTCATTTTACTCACCAAACACTTGGACGTCATAGAGCACCACGGCAGAGCTGGCCGAGCCGATGCCGTTGTCTGCCCCGCAAGCGTAAGTGCCCGAGTCTCCCTCGCCGACTGCGTCGATAAGCAGGTTGCTAAGCAGGAAACGCGTGTTGTTGTGGAGACGCAGGTCCTGCCCGTCCTTTGCCCACGTGACCTGGGGAGTTGGGATGCCACTGGCCACACACTCCAGCACCAGCCGCTGGCCTTTAGTCACCATGATGGAGCGGGGTGCCGGCGGGTAAATGATCCGAGCCGCTTCTGATGTGGAGCCTGAAAGAATCGAGGCATTGTGCGCGTGAGCACCTACGAGTAAAATGCGTTCCCGCAAGACCAGAATGCCATGCTGAATGAGCAATAGTGACTCACGGCGTATGCGCAGACGATCAGCAGAGGTGGACGTTTTAACCTCCTGAGTGACGGGGTTGTAGGCAGCACACTTGTAGGGTCCCTCATCATCACGTGTGGCGTTGGCTATCTGCAGGTTCCCTGATGGCATGATGAGGTAGTTCCCTGCAGGACCAAACAAAAACATAAGTCTGAGTGAGAAGGGTTCAGAAGAAAAGCAGAGAAAATAATCAGAAATACCACCGAGACAAAGAGGAACCACAGAAAAACCGAGTCCATGTTGTGAAACAGCGTGGGTAATATGAGCCCTGTGTGCCATTCCAATACATAGCTGCACTTCCAACTGAAGCCACAGAGTGGCACTGTCGAGTCTGACCCAAGTGAATGCTCTTCAACGTGGTATTCATTTCCTCACAGATAAGGTAGATATCAGTACCTACAGCTCCCAGGCATCATCAGCATACCAGCTACAAACCACTGGAGCTTTTCTTCTCTTCCAGGCAACTTAGAAATAAATAGTTTGAAAAATAAACAACTGCATTCCCATGTTTCAACATTCTCCAGATAATGCCCTTATCGGTGGTTTTACGATGGGTCAGATAGCAGGATTATAGCATTCCGGTAAATTACGAAGATAGTATGGGAATTAAGGAGAGAGAGTGAATGCTATAAAAGATCTTGAGGGATTAAAGCAGCTGGTTACCTTTGGATGTTTCCAGCCATTCCTGTTTGACGCTGTAGCGAACCTGAGCCTTGGGCTGGCTTTCGGGGAGGTGACATTCAATAACAGCCGTGTTGCCTTCATCCACTTCGATCTCCTGCTGGTCATCGGGCTCAAAGTCCCGCAGCTCTAAAAAACAACAAAGACATGAGGAGAAAAGTCAGCGCCGTCTCATAGCTACAACACATTTCACCCTTCTTTCATCATCTTAATATGCAGTGTAAATCACGTCTAACTGCACATGTATACAGTCATTCCTCAGCTTCAGATGTACAAAACCGCAATATTCAGAGCAATAATAACTGTGCTGTTCCCATGTTGGGTGTCTCTCATGTCAGTCAGACTTTGCTGTGTTGTAACCACATTCCCACAGCTTCTCTAATGTTCCCTCTTTTTGGAAAAAAAACTTCTACCTCCACTTCTTTCCCACTGCTCGTCTTTACGTGATCCGCTGAAATTCGCAGGAATTTTAGGAAAGCACTTCAAGCTAATTTTTCTGGTGTCAGTAACATTTGAGTAGGCCACATTAATCTTGTCAAACATTATACCGGGGGACTGGAGCCGGGTCAGATTCTGTGGGAAATGGTGGGAGTGGGGATTACCGGGGCCATGTGCTGTGACTGTGTCCCACAGACACACGGTCTGCACAGCATAGACACTTATCTGGCCCCCTGACCTTCTAAGCCCCTGCCTGAGCGGCCTGGAGGCCTGGCATTGGGGGGGGGGGTCAAAGGGGAGAAAGCGCCATCCTATAGGGTTTCATTGCCATTTTATAGATTTGAAGCAGAGAGAACCTAACATGAGACAGAGAGAAGAAACAGGAGCAAAGAGAACAGCACAGGAGGGGAAAATAACACCCAAAGAAATTTGTCATTAAGGCGTCCAACAGTGAAATGAAAGATAAATAAAACTTCTCCACGAACGTAATTAAACGTCTGCCAGCCTTTGTTGATTTATTCTTAACAAACACAGCCTCTCCATTCTTTCCAGAGCTGCTATAACTGGGGTGTTTTTCTTGGACCCGGCACACCGAGCTGCCCGTATGCACACACAGTCAGCTGATGAGTCGTTGTACACCTCTAATTCAATAAGCAAAGTTTAGTTAACAGTATCTATTGATAGGGGCTTTAAAGTGATTTACTAAAAGCACTGAACAAACACATTCACTGCGGGCAGTCGATTTATCCACCACGCACGCTGGATCTGCCCCCTCTGCAGGCGCCTGGGGGAGCTTTAATGGGCGTAATGGGGGAGATTGTCTAACACGCACGCACACATTAACAACAAACACACAACACAACCCTATGCCTGTGTCAGCTCTTATTCTGAAAGATGAGAATCCCAGCCAGGACATGTCAAGCTTAGCGGGGTGTGTTGAAGGGGAAAAAACCTCAAGGATAGGCCGTGTGGCGCTCCATTTGCAAAATCAATCAGGTGCTGTTTTTACAGACACCCCTTCCCCCACCTCATATCTCCCCACTCCACCTTCCTCCTCCTTCTCCTGGCTGTTTCTCCCAAATTCCTTCATATACACCTTTTAACGCCCCCTCTCACAACTCTACTGCCCCGCATTCTTCACAGGAAAAAGAAAAATCCCCTCACGGGTGCCTCTCAGGTGTGCACGCGAGCGCGCGCATGTGATGTTTCTTGTGAGTGCATCCTGCATGGATGGAGGATTGATGGCATTCATAAAGTGAAGCAGACCTCCCGCACCACGGCTGCTTGGCAGGGCGAGAAGGAGCGAGAGAGAGACAGTACATTCATCATCTTTATGTGCAGCAGCGACAGGAGTCCCGCGCGCACGTCTCTGAATTATAACACGTTATAGCAACGTGTTGTGCGTTCACGTTGTGCAGATACATGTTTCTACGGCAAAAAAAAAAAAAAAGGAGGAGGGTGATTGTCTGCACAAGATTTCAAGCGGGGGAGCTTTTAAGTGATGCCAAGAAGACGCAGATTTTTCGGAGTCGGATAGTGTGGAGGGTCTGGAGTCAACGTATCACAAAAAAACATGTGCGTACAACTAAGAGGGCTCACAAGGAAAGGCAAGCACGTACACACTCCCCACGGAGCAGTTCCTTAGGCGGTTTGGGGGTGGCCGAGGAGAAGCAGTTATTAAATTAAAGAGGCTTTTTTGGGAAGGCGGGGCGAACAGACTGGCTCCACATGTGGTTGTCCCAGTGTGATTCATCCACTATTGGAGCAATCAATAACTTTTAATGCCTTTGTAGCTACAGCCTCTGGAGAAAACCCAAAGAAAAATAAGAGCGAGAGAGGTGAAGATGACAAAAAGAGGAGGATGAGGATGAGGGGGAGAAAGAGAGAGAAGGAGACGGCGATAATGAAAGGAGGCGAGCTGAGAGAAAGTGACAGGGTGAAGAGTGAAAAACGTGCGAGGGGAAATGCGTGTGAAGATGATTGTGGAGGGATCCGAGGAGGCAGAGAATGTGACACCACGTCTCGTCTCGTGTCGGGATCTTGTCTCGACTGGCCTAAAAACAGCTTCCAGTTTCTGCAGCCGCATACATCACATCCCTACGCGTAAAACAATACTGGTAAAAGCACCCTCCCCACCCCCCTAGCTAATGGTGTGCTCTGCTGGGGCGTATACCTATATCCTCTGTCCACTCTTATCTCCACTCAGCCCTCAGCACAATTACGGGGCCATAACTTCTGGCGAGTCCTGCTGTCGGGCCCTGCAGTGAGGAATGTGGTGTTGTGGGGAAAGCAAAGGGCCAATGAAGGTAGGGGGGCCTCCAAGCTAAGTCCTGCTGGTCCCCTTTCCTCCCCCCCACTTGCTCAGACTGGCCCCTGGGTCCCCTTCATTCCTCCAGCTCAGGTTTCACAGTTTCAGGCCCCCTTTTCAGTCCCACAATGGATATCAAATACAACACCGTACACTAGCAAAGCACTAAAAACGTCAGCATGGGGAATCATTTATTTTAACACTATTAAATTGACGCAGCTGTTTTTTGTCTGAGTACACAGAAGAAAAACTGCCTGACTGTGCAGAGTTAATCCACTTATTACTGATGTGCAACAGATTCTCACTGGAAGGACCAAAACTGCAGTAGGTTTATATTTTTTTTCTCCCCAAAACCACAAGTAGTGGAAAAGTACGAGGTTTACAGTGATGTACTGGTAAAGGTTTAAAGCAAACAAATGCCGCCCCTTCACTGCTTTTGTTCTACTTAGAGAGAGAGAAAGAAAAAAAGTCCAACGCGTTCTTTGGATATTCTGACAAACCAAAAAGGGGCCCCTTTGTTTGTGTTTATTTGTCACAGCTTCGTGTGGGTGGCTACTCACTGGCAGCAGTGACGTCAGCAGGCACACTGGCTAGGGCTCCGGCGCTGGTGCTGGCCACACACTGGTATCTGCCAAGAGTCTGATTGGAGAGAACTGGGATGAACAGGCTGCTGGGCCTCAGCACTACACCCAAATCTCCGTCTACCAGCTCATGGCCGTTGAGGCGCCAGCTGATGTTGGCGGAGGCGGGACGGGCACTGCAATGCAGGGTGACGCTGCCTCCCAGCTTCTGCACCACGGATGTGGGCTCTTCGTTGAACGCCGGCACCTCGTCTGAGGAAACTATTAACAACAAGGATTCAGATGCAAATTAGAAACTCTTCATGTGAGCATGCGTATAAAAGATATTTACACGTCGGGGAACTGATATGTATGTTTGCCATCATTTCTTTTCTTGATTAGTTGGAAATCCAAAGCAAAGTTTGACGTGATTAAACCACAAAATTTCCTACAACAGACCAAGAAAAGCAGCAAATTCCCAGACAAATGTTTGGCTTCTTTGGTTGCAAATTTTGCTTGAATCAGTGAATGAGCTAATCGCCGTGGCTCCACATACAATACTTGCATTATTTTTAGTGGCAAGAACAGCTCATGCACACTATTCCCGCCTTCCAATTTCTTTCAAATAAACTGCTGTACCTGCTGCCAGACACATAACATCTCACTCGCTGTGCCTCAGCCAGAATATTTTGTCCCTGGCAAGGACTTACTGTGCATCAGGTGTGTAAAGGCACTCAGTAACTGAGGGTAGAGTGAGGTAGAAAACTGCCACAGCAAATTGTGACTGAGGGCATGAAGAAGGTTGGATGGAAAAAGGAAACATTTTCATCATTACGTTGCTTACTGTTAATACACAGAGAGAGGAAATAGGCACTGGGATTACAGTGAGAGTGGGGTCCAGTACTTCATAAGCTAATGTTGTTTACTCACCGGTGAGTGAAGCGCCGCTCTGCAGGCAGCACAGCAGTACTGCGCCAAGAGCGCACAACACTGGAGCCCTTCTCTTTTTCATCCACGGAGTCCAGTCTTGCTTTCCAGACATCTTCCATACACTACCCCCTGAAACACACAACAACAGGAGGTGGTTAGAAAGGTCACGTACAGACTCTGAGCAAAACAGGCTTTAGTCAGTTTGTTTCAGTCAAACCTGACTGAAGCAAACAGGCAGAACTGCACCGAGACACGCATCCTCCATCTAAACAGCGCGCAGCTCCCTCTGATTGAATTTTACTTGTATACACACGTGCACGAACAGGCGGCCGCTAACGAAACACAAGCCAGGCGAGGCGGCGCGCTCAGCAGAAAAACTCCAGACACAAATAAAGTCTTTCTTTTCTGTCAGCCCCCATCTCACCGTTGACCCCATCCCCTCCCGCTGCACCCGCACCCATCCAGCCCACGCTCATCAAAGGGGCGCCCTCATTCTGCGTGCCGTAACCCGACCCCTCCACCTTCCTGCTCAGGTGTAACCGATACAGGTAGAGCGGTATGAAGAGAGGGAAGAAGATAGAGGAGAAGACTAAAACACACAGGCTGCTTTCAAGAGTTTGGACAAAGAGCAACTAATGAGAGGTAGTAGAAGGGAGGGAGGCACAGGGTGGAAATGTATATATATATCCTAGAAGTAAGGAGTGAGGATAAGATGGATACTTAAAATACAAATAGAGAAGTCGCTGGTAATGGTTAGTCTATTAACGGTTAATATAGAAAGAGGGGAGCTTTTTTCTCTCTCCCCTTGCTGCCAAGTTTCCCAAATTCTTTCCTGTCAGGTTAAACTAACAACTTCCCGTCAGGATGAGGAGGGTGGTCCTGCAAAACTAAATCTCCCCTTTCTCCCCACTCACTCCCTCTCTCCCTCACATGCACGCATGTCCTCGAACATACAACGGTCCCGTGAGGGACCTGCAGAAGTGGAAGCGGCACGCAACTTTGAACATGCATTTTTGTTCTGAGCTTAATAAGGCAAAGGGGATGATTAATGAAGCCTGCCTGCACACCAACGCGCTCACACACAGAGACGGGTCCCAAGGCAGGACAGTAAGAGAATGGAAACTCTTACAGTGCACCTTCATCATCTAATGGTAGCAGTGAAGGAAAAAAAAAAAAAAAAAAAAAAAAATTATAATATATATATATATATATATAATATATATATATATATATATAATATATATATTATATATATATATAATTATATATATACTATATATATATATATATATATATATATAATTATATTATATATATAAGTTTGGCTGCCTGGCACATGAAAACGAGCAGAGCGGTAGGGTGATGGAAAAGCAGCTGCAACAGCTCCACAAGGCCACACATCACTCTCTGCTCCGTTTTAATTGCACATTATGAATGTGTAAACAATTTCAGATGACTAATTCTCGTGCCATCAACAGCAACAAAGCAGCGCTCTGCGTGGAAAAGACAGCGTGGCGCAGTAATGATTAGTCAGCCCCGTAATGAATCGAGTTTATTTACACCAAGAAACAGAACTTTTTTTCTCTTTTTTTAAAGCTGCTAAACGCTCCAGTGTTCCAGTTGTTTTTGTATGCTTCCTGCTGGGTGTTGGATTTTAAGATAACTCTACATAATGCTATTAGCACTGATGCAAAATTTGTATTAAAACCCTGTTAGACAAGAACTCCAATCACTGATTTCTCTAGATTCACACATGTGTAGACCTTCTGTTTATCTCTCATTGTGACAAGCCCTCAAGAATGAGGATAACCCTTAGTATCAGCCCTACATACATGTACAGTTTCATTTAATCACTCGTCCACACAAAGTGGCTCATCAGTAGCGGGCTCACTCTGTAAACAAACAGCACGCTACTGTGGGGACCAGGAGGGAGCAGAGCTGAAGGCCTGTGGCTTCTGTGGCTGGTCACTATATGGACACAACTCAGTACAGCTGCCCATAAAAAACACCTACATCTCTGTGGAGCACCTGTCCCGACTGTAAGAGTCACTAACCATAAACCAACTACACGCACAGCGGGACACGCTACCTCAGCGCGTAGCCCTCCCACATGTCCGATTTCTCATTCTTTTCAAAATAAAAGCACTAGCAATCAGACGAATGACAGAGCTTTGTTGCAAAGGCACCTCGTACAATATCACTCCCTTAAAAAAAGAGCCCTGCTTCTCTGAGTGTGTCTGTTGGTCTGATTCATTAGCGAGCTGGGTCCCGTGTTTGCTTAGCGGATACCCTGCGTCAAGATGAAGAGTTGCCCTGACATCCATGTCCAACTTTTTCCATCACTCCTTCCCAGAGAAGCCAGAGAGGGAAAGAGGAGCCTCCCACGCATCAGCGACACTGATAAAAAACAGAGCACACACACACAGACAGCTCCCCTAAATTAAAAGCAGTGTGCGTGTGCACTTGTGTGTCTGTTTGTGCGCACATATGCCTGTGACTGTTTTGTTACAGCCCTACCATGAGGAACGACGCCGCATGGCAAACACATTGTGCGAACAGCTTTGCGGTATATGAGACATACTTTAGTGACAGTGCAAGAGAGGGAACTCTGTGAACTGTTCAAATCTGCCAGTCCCACTGAACAAGTATGACTAGAGTGGAACCATTTCTGTAGTCACAGTAAGGACCTGAAACTCGACTCGCTACAGTTTTGATGTAGACCAGTAAAAGAGACAGCAAACGATGACAGCGCTGTGATTTTTAGATTTTGGGTAGCTGTTTTAATATTTATCTTTTGGGTAATATAGCTATTTTTTAGTTCAATTAAGGATTTTGTTCATTTAAGTATTGAAATAAAAAAAAAAAGTCTAAACTTGCTGACATTACTGAAAGATTTTCAACCTACCCCTGCAACAGGTGGGCCTCCATGCAACATATGCATTAAATAAAATGTGAAAAATCAACTTTTTATAAGCATAATTGTGCATATACACTGCTACAGATCCATATTAAACAGAGTTTCTGCAGGATTTCTTCTATCAGATCCATTCTTGTGGTTTCAGCAGGTTTAGATTTTCCTACCCTCCCTCAGTGCCTTCATGTTCCCTTTGAAATTTAGGGAGAAAAAAAAAGACTTTGATGCTTATTACATCTATAAAGGTGTCAATAGAGAAAATGTTTTAATGGCACATATCCATGTATTGCACAAAAAATCCTTTCCAGACAGTTCTGTTCAAACCCTTTAAACTCATCTTGGTTTATCGTGATTAAAAAGTTCATTTTCATGGGAGGAGTTTTTAAGGGATTATCTTCGACTGCTGTGGTATTTTAATGGTCATCTCAGGGAGATCTTAAAGGTGTCTTGACTTGCAATTTGCTGTGAACACTTAATAACTTGCCTTCAGGACTAAGGAGTGATCACCTTAATAGTACGATTAAACATTTCTCTCCTGGTGGGAGTGTCCTCGGGGGCAGAAACATGAAAAACTTATGAATCTAATTGTATGATGGCCAACCTTTTACAAAGTGCTTTCATCATATCACAAATGAGGGAATATGTTTTGGAAGAATTACATTCCATCCCTCCAGTAGAGTTACCATGCGGTGGACCAACATCATTGGTTACTGGACACAGATAGCTGTGGACAGCCAAACTAGCAATATACCATTTTTGTGTCCTCATGGTGTCCGCCTTGAATAGGCATCCATTCTTTGTGTCCTTGTTGTGCAGCATCTGCAAGGTCACGAAAAATTGGCAAGCACACGGATGTCTGCTCAGAGCCACGTGTTCGCCCTCGGATACCTAAATAAGTGTCACTTGAATTAAAACGGACGTTGGCCCATTTTGCATACTCTGAAACCAGAAGAAGAAGGTACTCTGTGCGGGTTCTTACTCCAACACCTGTTTGGAGAGGGCGAGGAGAAAGCACAAACAGCAGGCAGTGAGAGGTTGTGGCGGTGGTGTGCAGGCATGCATCACGAGCTGTAGGTATGCCGGTGTCTCATATGCCGTTGTGGGGCAGAGACACTTGACAGAAGTTCATTGTGAGCGTGCTAAGTAAAGACACCGGGGCCCCCGTTCTCCTGGGCCACTGCCGGTCCCATTGTGCCCCTGCCTCTGTGGATAAATTCATTTTGACAACCCTGCTAATTGGATAAAACCCGACTGGAGCCTCCTCCCCGAGCTCTCACATTCCATCTGCTTTCTAGCACGGAGAAGACGAACAGGAGAGAGAGGAGGCAGTGAAGGGGTATCAGGGCAGTAACTTCTCGTGAGGAGCTGAGCTGTTGAATATTTATCACCTCCCCAAAGTCCCCTCTTGCGCTCCCTCCTCCTCCCCCAGTTTTTACGTCTTTTTACAACCCGTGCGCTCCCCTCCCCTCCACCCCACCCTATCCTCCCTTAAGGTTCTCCAAACACCACAAAGCCCCCCCTTTAGATAAACACATGCGGTGTCAAGTGTTAGGAGTGCCGGGGGTTCAACTGCCCCGCTCGGGCCCGCAGCCCACAATGCCACGCCGCATAGCTGTCATGCGGGAGGCCGGTTGCCCCTGGCGACGCTAACAGGCAGAACGCACCTTAATAGAGTGGAGAGTCATTGTAAAGCAGTGAGCCGGTGCACAGACAAAGACCCCGCAGACCCCTGGAGAAAGGGGAGACGCTACTCTGAAGGGTCCGGGGAAGAGCTGATGGGCCCTGCTCAATGACCAAAGAGAAGAGGGAGGGTGGGGTGGGGGGGGGGTGCTCAATGACCAAGAGGTTTCTGTAGTGGTGTGTGGAGAGTTTGTGGAGGCAGAGAGGAGGAGAGAGAGTTCGGTGCCTTTAAAGACTGATGTGAGCTGGGTGAAGGGGGTTTTATGGATGCAGGGGTAGGTGGGTGGGTGGAGAGGTTGACTGAGAAAGCTGAACAGCGACTCAAATTAATAGAGAGGATGTCAACTGGCAGGCGAGCAGGAGGAGAGAGCAGAGCCTCATCAATGAGCGGCTGTGTTTGAGGGAGCGTGTGTGAGAGCGTCGCTGAATGTCTCAACATATTTTCTCCTCATTCTGTCAATCTGTTGGCTGGCCTCTTAGCCTGGCCGGGGTTTTGGTGCTGAGTAAAGGAGGAGGACGCGCATGGTCCAACACGACCACATCCGGTTTACCATTAGACCATCACACAGGGCAACTACATAAAAGATGAGAAGGGGATTTTTATTCCAACAAATTCTCAAGAAAACACTGAGACAGGCGTCACATGTTAGCTGCTGGTCAATGACTTCCTTGTTCTGTTAAACCTAGAGTCCAACACCTAAAGATTTTCACCCAAAAGCTACGTGGATTATTGACTAACCCGATTAACCAACTTTAGAAAGTCATTTATAGTTTCCTAAACCCCCAAAAAGACAGAATCAAAAGTCTTGTTTTGTCGAACTCGCAGTTTGAAAGCAAAAATATTTTTACTTCATTTTCTGCAATAATAAAAGGGAGAGAGGGAGCACATGCTGACACTGGAGATGCCAGCGTTAAACCAGCTAGTTTTGCAGATTATTCACTTAGCTGTTTCCGCACTAACTCTGCACATGGATTTTTTTTTGGTCACCCAAAACGTCAAAACTCAAATATGTACATATAATCTGAATAGAACTGGGCAGAAATACATGCGGTTTTGTGTTAGTTACTTTAGTATTAATGCGTGTACCTCTGGATGTTGCCCATCTCTACTATAATGCAGATAATGCAAAAACTGAAGTGGACAACCTCCGTTGTTTTCCCTTCTGCCAACTCAACACCAAAACTTGGCAGAGTCTAAGTCTAAAAATCGATTCCCACCTCTCTTTCCACTCCCCCGCAGACAAGAGGACATTATGGAGTCCCCTTTGGCATAAAAATGCTGCCCAACAGGTGGAGAGGGGGCCAGCTCAAATCCTCCACTCAAAACATCACTCGTTCTCATGCCATAAAATTACACATCAAAAGCATCCCTAATGAGGTTGAGAACCTACCCCCTCCTCCTTCATAATACGCTCTCTCAAACACACACGCACGCTTCACAAAGTATTAACGAGCTATACGCCCGTCCAAGCCCTCCTTCACCCCCTCCCCAAACCGACACTAACGAGCTACAGTGCGTCTCGGGGATTAACGAGAGGGATCTGGACAGGCCTGCCATGTAGAGGAGGGGGCGTTCTAATCAATTAGGCACTGAAGCATTTGCATAATTTAGATAACGAAGCCGAATTAACCACGGAGAGCTAATTATGGTGCCATGGTGAGCACATCCACCCACATTCTTCTGCCTGGTGTGGGATGCCAGCGTGCCCACCAAGGCCATGGGAACAGGGTTGGATCATAGAGGCTTCCTGGGGAGTTAGTTAGACCTGGAAGGATGGGAGCGAGGAAGAAAGGAGTAGAAAAGATAGAATACCAGGGTTAGGAAGACAAAAGAATAGAGAAAGATGTACAGAAGAACAGGAAGAAGGACACTGAGACCATTCCATATTCTTACTCCATATTAATAAGGAATAGTATCCATTATTGTTATGGAATAAGGATATGGAGAATGATTAAGATAGAAAGCTAGAAGAACAGAAAGATGGATAGAAACAGATGATAGAATTAAGGATACAAAAGCAAATAGAAGCATAGCAAAAATGTTAGAAAGATAGACGGCAGGATACAAGGACAGAAGGATGGATATAAAAAAGGATGATAGAAAATTTTTTTTTTAAAAAGAATAGAAGGATGCCAAGAAGGACAGGAGGACCGATAGAAAAAAGGATAATACCCAGGATTTCACAGTACTCATCGCACAAACACACACGCGCGTGCATGCAGTTACATATTTCATTTACCCACAACCATTCTCTCCTTGCACAAGAAGCGCACACACTCAGTGACACATAAGCAAGCAATCACACAAACTCCTATTACATGGTAAAAGTATACTCACAGAGGCACATAAATATGCAGACCTCAGGAAGTTTTTCCAACACCAAATGTCAACACGCTAAAAAACAGGCTACCACTTATCCCAAGCCCGAGAAATAAAACGCACGCACGCCACGGCATTCACGCATGCCAATATAGACTTTCATAGCTGTACGTATATGCAGCCTGCTCTTTGTGTGTTCCTGCGGCGCTGGGAGAGAGGGGAGGGAGAGGGGAGGGATACGGGGTGGGTTAAAGGGGGCCCCCCAACTCTTTTGGCAGCTCATGCATCAGAGTGAATGGAACCAATTATAAATCAAGAGCAATTTCTCCCCATTATTCAGCAGGAACCGGGAGGGGGGGGGACTGGCCCTACAACTCTCAGTGGGAGATGAAGGAAGGAAGAGAAAAGCAGAGCGGGTGAAATATTATATGAAAAACAGATACGAGGAGGCATTAGGAAATTGAGATAAGGTGGGGGGGTGACAGAAAGAGAGATGAGGGAATGGAGAAAGACTGTAAAGTTAGAAGGAGCAGGCCAAATGAGAAGGTTATAGGAAAAAACAGACATGAGGATGAATTGGGAAATGGATAAGAGGCAGGAACGTGAAGAGAAGGCGATGGGTTCGGCTGCGTCAACTGAGTTTGAGATGGTGCAATAGCGCCTGACAGCCTAGCTCATGGTTATCGAGTGAAAGCTGCTGCATCTCAAAGACATTCTTGGGAAGGGAAACAGCTGGAGGAGGCTCTTTTCAAAGAGAGCTCTCAGTTTCAGGAGCAGGATTTGTGAGACGCAGTAAAGCAGAGCTACCATTTGTCCTGTCACTCAAGGCCACGGATGTGCATTATCCTGCATAAAATAAAAACCTCATACAGATACAATTTGGACAGCAGACAGAGCCGCGCTGTCGATGGAAAATTCCAGCACTGATAACCTCAGGGGCCCAATACCTCACTAATCTGGTGCCCAGTGATTTATTCTGTTGAATCATGTCTTCTCCTGCCAGTCTGACATTCTTCGATGATGAGTTCTTGCTCTCTGGGGCAACACTTTAAATCTGATTATTGGTTGTAGCTCTGGGATACAACCCAGATTCCAGCTTTTTTTGTTGTTGTTGCCGCTTTTATTGATCTATAACACAAGCTGGAGAAAAGAATACAACGCACTTATTATTCCAGCGTGCGTGCAGGCTCAGCGCGCCATACTCAGCGAGCCCGCACGCAAAAGGTGAGAAACTTAAGGAAACCAACGAAAGGGAGGAAACTTTTCCAACTGAGTGCATGAAAGAGAGCAGAAAGAGCAGGAACGTGACTGCGAGGCTTAAACCGAGCGGTTCCAGTCAGAATGCAATCTTAAGCATGTGTGTGAATGATCTATTAGAGCGTCTGGGTTGCTTTTGGCTCGTAATAACACCCCCCTAATCTTTGTCCAAATATCTGCTTTGCACACACAGGACTATTTGTCTGCACACACACACAGCTTTCTTACCAGAGTCTGGAGTTGATCAATGATCTAACAACACTCATACCGCACTCTCAATGTGCATTTGTGTGTGTGTGTTTGTGTAAGAGAGCGAGAATGAGAGTACGCCCTAGGTAACTTCATTATCCAATCAAGAACTTTTACTTTAAGCAGATCAACTCAACTAGTTTAAAGGCTTTGGATAATCTCTATAAAGCTGTTAAGACACTGGCTGTTTTTAATATACATATATGTGTATAAACTGAACACAGACGTGCAGATATGGTTTTGCAAACGTAGCCTAAAAGCGGGCTTCTGTAATGGAAAAGGCTGAACAACCATCTCTTGTTCAACAGACTTTTTCCCTTTCTTTCATTGCATCTAATTTATCTTCATTCCTTCTTCAATAATCTGCTTGATCACAGCCAAATTAGCATCTCCAACACTGTCAAAACTTTCTAGTTCCCCCCTTTTCTTTTTTTTTTTTTCGCCCACCTCCCTCCTCACATTCCTCTCTCCCTCTCACTCTGTGGTCCTGGCTGACAGGATCAAGAGAACAGAGGTATGCAGCCCCAGGGGAGGTGCCTAGACCCCGGCCACCTGCCAGTCCAGGTGTCCCTCTTTGGTTATCTGATGTCTGACTGGACACAGAAACCCTCCTGGGGGAACGAGGCTCAAGTCCAAGCTTCCAATCTGTCAGTGCGGGAGGACTAATGCACCGTATGTCAACAGGCCAATAATGTCTGGCAGTGGAAAATGAGGCAGCCTTATTTGGCGATGAGTGTGTTCCTCGCTCGTTTATGAAAAGTACATTAACCCAGAAAAACTTCTGCTGAAATTATCAAGTAAACTAGTCACACTTCTCTCTCTCTCAAGTCTTTAGTAACCCTTTTTCTAATGCACTAATCTCAAAACCACCACGCAGGTGACAAGTAATACATTCCAGTGCAAGGAGATGATCTTGATGGGAGGGTAGCTAACCACACACACACACACACACACACACACACCAACACACACACACACACACACACACACACACACACGCGCACCACCCACACACACACACACACACAGACACACACAGACACACAGACACACACACACACACACACACACACACACACACACACACACGCCTACAGATTCTCTCTGCAGGCTGTTATGACTGCATGAGCGTACCTGCTGTCAGAGATGAAAGCGTGCCCCCAGGATGGAGCTTTTTCTTCTTCACCTTTGTCAATTAACACGGATGTTACACCCACTACAACAACAATGGGTGCTTTTCAGAACCACAGTGAGAAACTTTTGGCTCCCAAAACCCGAGCGCACAGCGGTCCTTATGGATCTGCTGGCTATTCGCAATCTTGAAATGCATCTTTAAAATCCATTTACGTCTGCAGACTTTGATTTAAACCCAGATGTGAAAACACTCCCGGCTGCATGAGGGGTTAGTTAAAGCCTGTCCTCTTTGCCTTCATATCTTACATCATACCTCAACATGGCAAAGTCAATTTGGAAGCAAAGCTAAGATACGAGTGAGAAACTCTATTTCTGTTGGCGGCAGACCCAAATCCACACAGTAACTTTTCCTCACAGGCTATAACACATACGAAAGCTCAGCTCCTATAGGATGGATGAAAACTATCCAGCAACAGGCAAAATAGGGGAAAACTGTCTGTCTGGCAGGTAACCAAGATCAATGAAATTTAATTTCACTGAAGAAAAAGAAGGTTCTGCCGGTAACAGCCACATGAAACTGTAACCGAAAGACAATAAAGCAAGCTTCCTTCATTCGCAGTCCTAAAAATGTAAAAAAAAAAAAAAAGAAAAGAAGAAAAGCAACTTAATAGGAACATTGTATGGTTTTTTTTTAACATTAATTACAGTGTAATACACATATTATAGAGGCTTGAAACATGCCTGTGGTGCAGCATAATACATTGAGTCTGCTTTACTGTATGAAAGCATGTTAGTCTTCATTTACGAACTATCTACAAACGAGAAATGGCACCGCCTTGAGAAACATAACCAAAAACTTTTGAAAATGTAGTTTGGTATCAGAAGACTTATTTCTAAGAACTTATTTCGTATTTCTGTGAGAAATATCTGAAATGTTTGCTCAAAAATGTGTTTTCCCATCTTTAACACGTGGTTCGTGTTCACAAGTCAATAATGGTGTGATGGTATTTAAACTTTTATGGGGAAATAAACTGTTTGAAAATGATAGTTTCTGCCCACAGTAGCAGCAGCTCCAATATTTTTGCTTAGTATTGCACAAGATTGATTAGCAACTCCCATAATTGTCCCCCCCCCATTCCCCACATCAGCAATCAAAGGGGCCAAAGCCCTGTGAGAAACAGGCAGATAATCAGACAGGAATCATTTAGTTCAGCTTTGATCCACCCGCCTGCCAGAGATGATCAACAAAAACAACAAACCCTGCTACCAAACAAGAGGCTCCTTTTTTACTGAGACCAATTAATTCGCCCAGAAGCTGTGCGCCTAATTGGAGGAGGCCAGGCCATTCGTTTCGACTTTTAATCCAAGTGACATTGATTCAGCGGGAACAATCGGGCCCTCTTGTCTGATGCCATGTCTGTCACTGAATCGCGAAGCCGTCCTCCATGCAAGGCAGTGGAGGCTAAATGTAGACTAATCCAAATAACAAAACGACACCTGGGGTTGGAAACTCGAGCCCCTGCGGCTGTTTCTGCAGGGCTCCATCCGCCTCCTCTCCACCCCTTACCTCCTTTCCCTCCACCCTGGGAGCCTTCACGGTGATGCAGCCTTTGGCCAGCGCTCAAAACTCGGGTGGGGGGATCAAGACGAACATTTAGTCATTAAATCAGACCTGGATGAGGGGATGGCATCAGGGGAGACTGTCCTGACAGCGAGGCAGGATGCAGGGTTTCTCACCAACAGAGGTGCCAGTTTACTGGAGGCTTTAATGAGGTTAGTCTGACACCAGGACTTTGGTTTGGGGGTGAGAGGGAGTGAGTGGGACTCCACTCAGGTAGCAGTGTTTGGGTTTGTTGATGACAGCAGAAACATACAATCTGGTCGGGGCTTTTTTTGAGCACTTGGAGGAGGGTTGTGGGAAAAAAAATAGAAGATTGCGGTCTAATGCGTAAACGTAACCAAACTGTTATGTTAAGATCCAACAACTTTGATAGCACTACATAAACTTCAGGGGGAGGGAAGGGGCAGGGTTTTTAAAGATGGCTAAGCAGCACCGTAAAAAAAGAAATTAATTATTTATAAGAACGCTGAGAATTGGCTCTCGTTCTTTCTACTTCCTTACAAATCTACTCATCGGAGGTCACTGCTCACCCGCTTTTCTATACCTCACCACAACGATGCTGAGCATGAGGGTGATGTTGATGATATGGGGTAAATCTGGCAGAGCTCACCATGTCTGTCTCCTGTTACCCTATGGGAGCGACTATAGGCTGCGGCCTGCAAAACGTAGACACGTTTTCCCAAAGAAAAACGCAAGTATACCTAAACACACAGCAGTGAATCTCCGCGACGTGTTACGAGAGGTCCGTAGCTCTTCATAAACACGCATCGTGGTGAAATAGTCGCCAGAAAAGTGGGGGAAAACTTTGGGGAAAAATACGGACGCGAGACCAATCAGGGCGCAGGCTAAGTCCGAAACCAAAGTCAAGTTTTTCCTTTTTTATATAAAAAGCAACTTCAAATCCAAAATCTGACCTCGAGGTGCGTCCCAATAATGCACGTCTGTGTCACGGGAACTTTGTTGCAGAGTTTTTGTGGATCATAAGGCTGGAGAAAGCGGAGGAAAAAAGCAAAACAAATGCGGCTATCGAAGCAGAGACGCCAGCATGAACGAACTAGTGATCAAACACCAAGAGTCGCACATTTCTCTGAAACAGAGTCACGGATGAGCCGGTGAAGTGCCCACACGAGTCGGAAAACACGCAACATAGCCGATACGTTCATGTATAAAACTGTAACGACAGCGTAAAAAACACGGAGCGCACGAAGCGTTCAAACTTACCAAAACTTGCACTGCTCGGCGCTCGCACCTCGTTTTAACCAGGCGATCTTCTCTTCGAGTCTCTCCTGCGTTTAAGTCCCCCAAGGAAAAAAAAACACAACAGTTTTCGCTTCTCTTTTCCCTCTAAAGCCTTTGCTGCTTTAGTAATTTACTGCGATGCCACCGACATTTTCTTCGGCTCCCCCAAGTTCTCACATTGAAAGGCCGTTTTTGGATGACTGAGCTCTCAAACAATTCTCCCTTTTGCGACGCCTTTTCGGGTCCTCCCACTTCCCAAGCAGGAGGAGGGATCTGAACAATAGGGACTGGCTCCCAAACTCCCAGAGCTGGGTAGGTACTGCACCGCCGTTTGCCCCTACAGAGCGTATGCACAGCGTATGAGGACTTTGCAGAGATTGTACTTAAAAGTAAAATGTGTAGGGGTGTTTTTAAAATGCAGATGGAGATAACTGTGAATAGAAAATATTTTTAAAAAATGAAGTTTTCTTTAAACTTTGGTGTTCTTTAGGAGGAAAGTGCGCCCCCTCCCCCTCCTCCTGCTCTGTTCCCCCTGATTTGCTATGCCTCGGTCCCCACAGGGTTTGTATTGACCCCCGTCCATTGAGGCCTGTAGGCCCTCCAGTGCAGCTGTGTAAGTGCTGTGCTGTTGTTGTGTTGTTGTGGACGGGACAAGTGTAGTCAGGTCTGTGCAGCACTCACACACACACACACACACACTCACTCTCATACTACAGTGATCACAGCTCGAACCCCCCCTGTGCTCACTCTGGAATTCTCTTCTTCACTTCAGTCAGCACACTTTGAAACGAGGGGAACCATTCCTGTCCAGTTCATTAATAACTGGGTATTCCCAGATCACAGGGTTTGATAGAGGGGTCTGCTGGTGGGAAGCCTTGCCTCTCTGAATGCAGGAACTCCCACCATGATGTACCTGAGGGGTTGCCGCATCCCTGCAGGCCTTCACTGTCTGACAGCCTGTGGTATTTCATGACACCTGTTGTTCTTGTCCAGGTGAGAGTATGTATGTGTGCACACCCGGTTTGTCTCATTTGGAGATGCTGTGTGTTAAACTTTTATTGGATGCCCAAAAATAAATAAATAAATAATCACAAATCCCAGCAGGATGTTTCAGGTCCAGGATGTCTTCAAGGAGTCATTAATCGTGGGTGTTTTCCAGTGTTGTGCTGCAGTTTGCCAGCACTTTGCAGGTCCTGCCAATGTTTTGCTGTTGTTGCTACTGAGCAAGGCTCTGTTTGTATGCGGTTCCTTCACACTAGCGCCACCCTGCACTACAAGGCAGAGAAGAGAGAGAGAGTAGAAAAAGGGGGGGACTCCCATCGCCTCAAAAACCCCTCCATGTTCTCCCCCCCTCCATCTCTCCATGCTGGGCAGGATGAATTAGCCCAGGGACAAAAGGCTTTGTGGGCTGACCATGAAAGGCCTATTAACCATACTGCATCCCCCAGAGGCCCTGCCCGCAGGACACCGCCTCCCAGAATGCCACTCTCTCAGCAGGCCGCAATCCCAGCATGCACCGCTTCCCTTCAGCACTAACCCCTGTCACCCCTGAGCCTCGCTGTAGAGCCCCACATAGATTGTCATGTAGATGATAATAAATGCTGTTATGAAAGTAATGGAGGGTGAGAAGCAGAGAAGGGGGCTGTCAGCGGTGGGTGAGCATGCGGTGTGATTTGTGCAGTTTACCCACAAAGACTCTGGGCTGGATGGAGCAAGAGCACCGGGTGAGTTTTGGGTGTCGGCTGTCAGGTGTGAATCCATCCAGTGTCATTACTGAAAGGTGCATTGTTCATTAGCGAGGGGATTTTTCTTTTTCCTCAAGGGTCTCAGCTTTGCAGTGGCTCCTCTTCGCCCTATTGTTTACCCGGGATCCATGACAACGACCCGCTCTCTCCCTCCGTCTCTGTATCCTGCTGACCTTAGCAGCTGTGTCACTTCCTTGGTTTGAC